GTAAATATTAACAATTGTTTTTCAATCGCATATTTCCAGGCTGGTGTATTAATCTTGTCGGTATATTTCATTCTTCTTACAGATTAGAGGATATGTCGAACTGAGACGCAGAGTTTTCATCTCAAATGAGTGGCGTCAAAACTATGGGAAGGCTAATTTGATCAGATGGAGCAACAGCTCGATTTTCCAGTTCCACATGGCTGGGGATGAAAACCCCGATAACGTCATCTTGAACATTCATCCAGTGGGAATCCTGTATATGTTGGCCGGCTAATACTGGTTCTTCAAAGAGACGGATTATGTGGCTGGTGTTGCGTGGCTTCAGGCTGATTAAATACCCGACCGCTAGAGTGACTTTTTCATCGATCGTGGGTGTCAATGAATTGAGTGAATTTAGTGGAAAATTTGTGTATGTGTATGCATTGAGTACAAAGAGTGCGTACGGGGATTCGTGAATAGGGCATATGCGTGTGTGTTTCGGCGAGAAAGTCACAAAAAACGAACCGATGGAGTACTAGGATGCGGGTTAAGGAGCGTTTTGGCAAAAAGAATGTGACACGAGACACGTCAGTTTTGTCACAATGAAACTAATTTATTTCGAGTCAACACAGTTACTTGCGTAAAAAATATTCACATAAAAATAACCGCGAGCAAACACTCGATGTATTTATCACGGTAGAGGATTACACGGGGTAGAGATGCACACGATAATTAGAGGTAAAACGTAGAGGAATTTTAGAGGACCACGCTACTCGATAGAACGTCCGAACAGAGAGAGAGTAACAATAATCATAATTCAGAGAGAAGTAGGTCAGCGCTACAGGTGCGTAGTTAGGGCACCTGTATTGGAGCGCGGCCGGTCAGGCAGAGCTAGTCAAGGAGGTGCTGCCACCCCTTGGTCAGATGCGGTATGAGGCTGTTGCCTCAACATTCTCCCCCCCGTCAGGAACCCCGTTGCTGACAGAAGGAGTAGAGCAGTACTCGAGAACCTAGAACACTAAGCAGAGAATTAAACATGTCGAGTGAGACCAGCTTTAACTGGTAGAGATCGGCAATAGAACCAATTTGGAGATCGGCCTGGTCAACGTCGTCGAGGCGGTCCTAATTGTCACAACTCTGGAGAGACCGTCCTTCCCAGGATGTAAAGCTGTGACACGAGCAAGAGGCCACTTCGGTGGTGGGAACTGCTCGTCGTAGAGAAGTGCCAGGCTGCCGACTTTGACTTCGTTGGACGGATGATGCCACTTGGAGATGGACTGGAGCTGCTGCAGATACCCTGTAGACCATTGTTTCCAGAAGAACTGCAGCCTCTGCTGAATCAGTTGCCATCTAGAGAGCCGTCCAACGTTGAGATGATCCAAAGAAGGCTCCGGAAGAGCTATTGGAGCTTCTCCAATGAGAAAATGCCCTGGGGTTAAGCAGGACAAGTCATCAGGGTCTTCCGAGAGCGCTTGTAGAGGCCTGGAGTTGAGAACTGCTTCAATCTGGGTCAGCAGCGTCGAAAGTTCCTCGAACGTGAGAGTTGTATCACGAACCGTTCGAGCGAGATGATACTTCACCGACTTTACCGCTGCTTCCCATTTTCCTCCGAAATGAGGGGCTCCAGGAGGATTGAACGACCACCGCGTTCCATCCTTGAGACATACTGCAGAGAGATGCTGGAATTCCTTGGCGCCAGCAGAGAACAGCTTCTTCAGCTCCTTGTCAGCACCGAGAAAGTTAGTGCCACAGTCACTGTAGAGATGTCTGCAGTACCCTCGACGACTTACGAACCTCCTGTAGGCCGCGATGAACCCATCAGCAGAGTAATCCGTGACAGCTTCCAGATGGAGAGCGGACGTGGCCATGCACACAAAAATCACCAACCAGCCCTTCTGGGTCTTGTGACCACGCCCCTTCCACGTCTTGAGCGACACTGGTCCGGCATAATCCACACCAGTGTTAGAGAAAGCCCGATCCGACACAAGACGTGCCACTGGAAGCTGTCCCATCAGCTGTTGAGCTCGAATCCCACGATGACGCGCACATTCAACGCACTTGAGGATGAAGGATCTTACTGGTAGACGACCTCCAATAATCCAGTAAGCCCTCCTGAGATGCGCCAACGTGAGTTGAGTTCCACCATGCAGCGTTCGCTGATGAGAGTCCCTAATGAGAAGCTCTGCGAGCGCGGAACCTTTAGGGATGATCGCCTGATGCCTACTCTCTGGTCCTAGAGTTGAGAACTTCAAACGCCCGCCCACTCTGAGAACACCCTGTTGGTCGATGAAGGCCGTGAGCTTGGTCAACGGATGAGACTTCTTCAGTTGGAATCCGTGAGAGATAATGTCACACTCGGCTTGGAGATGAAAGGCTTGAGTCGCCTTGACCCAATAAAGCCGAGCTGCCTCGATGCTTTCAGGGCTAAACACTGCAGGGACAACAACAGCCTTCTTCCTTCCCAACTTCCGCATCATATTCCCTGCAACCGTTTGACAAATTGCTGTGATTCGCAACAATTTGTAGAGAGAGGAATATCGCGTGCAAAGATCCCAGAGACTTGACCTCGCGAGAGAAGCAGTTAGAGTCACCCCAGGCTTCTCCTCGAGATTTGTTGACGGGTCCAATCTTGCGCTCCCTTTCGGCCATTGAGAAGAACCCTTGCGTAGCCATTTTGGGCCCGTCCACCACAAATGATGGGCATTGAGTTGAGCTACCAAAATGCCTCGAGATGCACAATCAGCAGGATTCTCCTTCCCACTGACGTACCTCCAATTCGCTTCCTGCACGAGTTCCTGAATGCTGGCTACTCTATTGTGGACATATTCCTTCCACCTGGAAGGATGAGCACAGATCCACGCAAGAGCAACAGCTGAGTCTGTCCACAAATGTACCATAGCGGTACCAAGGTTGAGCTGAACAATAACGTACCTTGTGAGCTTGGCTAGAATGACTGCGGCGTTGAGCTCAAGACGCGAAATGGTGAGCTTCTTGAAAGGAGCCACCTTGATTTTAGCAATAGCCAAAGAGATGCTAACACCATCCGCACTCGTCACCTTCAAATAAACCACCGCAGACATCGCTAGTAGAGACGCATCTGAGAAGCCATGGATTTCCACCTGAGATTCCTTCCTACACCCCAGCCAACGAGGGATCGAGAGTTGTTCCACTTGAGACAATTCTTCACGAAATTGAGCCCATTTCTGGACCAGATGCGGGGACAACCCATCATCCCAATCTTTTTTCTCCAACCAGAGTTGCTGGAGTAGAGCTTTTGCACGAATCACCACCGGTGGTAGCAATCCTAGAGGATCGAAGAGTTGAGCAATCTCGGACAGAATAATCCTCTTCGTTGTCTTCGTGTCGGCTGAGAGATGGATAGAGAACTTCAATCGATCTGTGTTGGGATCCCATTTCAGACCAAGGATCTTAGTGACGGAGTCCTCTAGCGGCTTCAGACTCTGAGAGAAACCGTCCGGTGTCAGAGAACGAAGTAGAGACGGACTATTCGAGTGCCACTTCGCTAGAGGAAATCCACCGGCCCAGCAGAGTTCCGTCACTTGCTGAGCTACAAGATGGAGATCATCTTCCTTCTCGGCTCCACCACAGATATCATCTACATATCTGCCACTGGTCAACGGTGAGATAGCCAGAGGGAATCGCTGTCCCTCGTCCTTGACCAGCTGGTCGAGAACCCTACAGGCGAGAAATGGAGCAGACTTGGTCCCGTAGGTGACAGTGGTGAGCTGGTAGGTGCTGATCTGGCCCTGAGAATCGCGCCACAAAATTTGTTGAAGAGGCCAGTCTTCCTGATGCACCTTGATCTGACGGAACATCTTCGTGATGTCCGTCATAAAGATGTACTTGCTCTGTCGAGACCAGAGAAGCACGTCAGAGATGTCCTTTTGCAATTTGGCTCCAGTATGCTGAATGTCGTTAAGAGACAACCCTGAGCTTGTCTTACTGGAGCCATTGAACACTACTCTCAGCTTTGTAGTTTCACTACTTTCCCGGAGAACGCAATGATGAGGAAAGTAGTATGTAGGAGCAGAAGAGTGAGATTGCCTGAGAGACGAACACCGACCGGGACCCTGATATGATTGCCCCCCCTCCGGGACCCTCAACCCTCCTGAAGCCGAAGCTTCATGTGCCAAGGTCATCCCGTCAGGTTGACAACCCAAGACCCGAGAAGCATATGAGGCAGGCAGAACAGGAGCACGCACCATGTGCCCCAACTCTTCATACTCCTTGAGAAAATCACTGTAAAGCTGTAGAGAATTCTGATTCTTTCCCAACCTCCTGAGCAGGCTCGAGAGACACGCCTTGGCGCGGCATAGAGAATCACCGAGCTCTGACGGAGAACGAGCAAGAGGCAGTCGAACAACATAACGCCCCGAGCGATCTCGAACATGGGTGCGCTGAAAGAACTCCTCACAATCTGCCTCTTCCTTCGTGAGAACACCATCATTGCCTTCAGTTTTAGAGACTTCCTCCTGCTGCCAGAACGAGGTGAGAAGATCGCCAAGTTCCTCATTGCTGACAGAGACGTGATTTGAGCTTGCCGCGGGGATCACTGCGGATGTAGGTCCGAGAACCACCCACCCGAAGAGAGTAAGCATCGCTATAGGGGAGTCTGACGGCCCCTTGATAACCTGCGGCTCCACAATCGATCCAAAGAAATCTGCGCCAATGAGAAGATCAACAGGTCTTGACGTCAGATAATCAGGATCAGCTAACTCCAATCCTCTGAGATGCTCCCAATGTTGAGTTTGAGAGACCGTGAACGAAGGCAATGAAGATGTGAGATGATCGAGTACATAGGCCTTGATGAGAATCTGATTACTTGAATACAGAGACTTGAGAGAAAATCGAGAAAAACCATTAGATGAAGACTTTGATCCACTAATACCAACGACCGGTAGCAAAGCCGGAGATACAGATAAGCCGAGCTTCCCAACAAGGTCATTTGTAGCAAACGTCAGCTCTGAACCNTTGAGTTTGAGAGACCGTGAACGAAGGCAATGAAGATGTGAGATGATCGAGTACATAGGCCTTGATGAGAATCTGATTACTTGAATACAGAGACTTGAGAGAAAATCGAGAAAAACCATTAGATGAAGACTTTGATCCACTAATACCAACGACCGGTAGCAAAGCTGGAGATACCGATAAGCCGAGCTTCCCAACAAGGTCATTTGTAGCAAACGTCAGCTCTGAACCAGTATCCAACAGCATCCTAACCTCGTGAGAAGAGCCATCGTCCAAGACGAGCGAGGCTAGCGCTGTAGCGAGAATAACACCTGGTCTGAGCTGCAGAGAGATATCACGATTGATCGGTGCTACAAACGGAGAATTACTCGCCAGAGTCGGCCGTAGAGAACGGTCAGTGGACAGACTCAGCTGTTGCTCTTGCGTGGATCTGTGCTCATCCTTCCAGGTGGAAGGAATATGTCCACAATAGAGTAGCCAGCATTCAGGAACTCGTGCAGGAAGCGAATTGGAGGTACGTCAATGGGAAGGAGAATCCTGCTGATTGTGCATCTCGAGGCATTTTGGTAGCTCAACTCAATGCCCATCATTTGTGGTGGACGGGCCCAAAATGGCTACGCAAGGGTTCTTCTCAATGGCCGAAAGGGAGCGCAAGATTGGACCCGTCAACAAATCTCGAGGAGAAGCCTGGGGTGACTCTAACTGGTTCTCTCGCGAGGTCAAGTCTCTGGGATCTTTGCACGCGATATTCCTCTCTCTACAAATTGTTGCGAATCACAGCAATTTGTCAAACGGTTGCAGGGAATATGATGCGGAAGTTGGAAAGGAAGAAGGCTGTTGTTGTCCCTGCAGTGTTTAGCCCTGAAAGCATCGAGGCAGCTCGGCTTTATTGGGTCAAGGCGACTCAAGCCTTTCATCTCCAAGCCGAGTGTGACATTATCTCTCACGGATTCCAACTGAAGAAGTCTCATCCGTTGACCAAGCTCACGGCCTTCATTGACCAACAGGGTGTTCTCAGAGTGGGCGGGCGTTTGAAGTTCTCAACTCTAGGACCAAAGAGTAGGCATCAGGCGATCATCCCTAAAGGTTCCGCGCTCGCAGAGCTTCTCATTAGGGACTCTCATCAGCGAACGCTGCATGGTGGAACTCAGCTCACGTTGGCGCATCTCAGGAGGTCTTACTGGATTATTGGAGGTCGTCTACCAGTAAGATCCTTCATCCTCAAGTGCGTTGAATGTGCGCGTCATCGTGGGATTCGAGCTCAACAGCTGATGGGACAGCTCCCAGTAGCACGTCTTGTGTCGGATCGGGCTTTCTCTAACACTGGTGTGGACTATGCCGGACCAGTGTCGCTCAAGACGTGGAAGGTGCGTGGTCACAAGACCCAGAAAGGCTGGTTGGTGATTTTTGTGTGCATGGCCACATCCGCTCTCCATCTGGAAGCTGTCACGGATTACTCTGCTGATGGGTTCATCGCGGCCTACAGGAGGTTCGTAAGTCGTCGAGGGTACTGCAGACATCTCTACAGTGACTGTGGCACTAACTTTCTCGGTGCTGACAAGGAGCTGAAGAAGCTGTTCTCTGCTGGCGCCAAGGAATTCCAGCATCTCTCTGCAGTATGTCTCAAGGATGGAACGCGGTGGTCGTTCAATCCTCCTGGAGCCCCTCATTTCGGAGGAAAATGGGAAGCAGCGGTAAAGTCGGTGAAGTATCATCTCGCTCGAACGGTTCGTGATACAACTCTCACGTTCGAGGAACTTTCGACGCTGCTGACCCAGATTGAAGCAGTTCTCAATTCCAGGCCTCTACAAGCGCTCTCGGAAGACCCTGATGACTTGTCCTGCTTAACCCCAGGGCATTTTCTCATTGGAGAAGCTCCAATAGCTCTTCCGGAGCCTTCTTTGGATCATCTCAACGTTGGACGGCTCTCTAGATGGCAACTGATTCAGCAGAGGCTGCAGTTCTTCTGGAAGCAATGGTCTACAGGGTATCTGCAGCAGCTCCAGTCCATCTCCAAGTGGCATCATCCGTCCAACGAACTCAAAGTCGGCAGCCTGGCACTTCTCTACGACGAGCAGTTCCCACCACCGAAGTGGCCTCTTGCTCGTGTCACAGCTTTACATCCTGGGAAGGACGGTCTCTCCAGAGTTGTGACAATTAGGACCGCCTCGACGACGTTGACCAGGCCGATCTCCAAATTGGTTCTATTGCCGATCTCTACCAGTTAAAGCTGGTCTCACTCGACATGTTTAATTCTCTGCTTAGTGTTCTAGGTTCTCGAGTACTGCTCTACTCCTTCTGTCAGCAACGGGGTTCCTGACGGGGGGGAGAATGTTGAGGCAACAGCCTCATACCGCATCTGACCAAGGGGTGGCAGCAGCTCCTTGACTAGCTCTGCCTGACCGGCCGCGCTCCAATACAGGTGCCCTAACTACGCACCTGTAGCGCTGACCTACTTCTCTCTGAATTATGATTATTGTTACTCTCTCTCTGTTCGGACGTTCTATCGAGTAGCGTGGTCCTCTAAAATTCCTCTACGTTTTACCTCTAATTATCGTGTGCATCTCTACCCCGTGTAATCCTCTACCGTGATAAATACATCGAGTGTTTGCTCGCGGTTATTTTTATGTGAATATTTTTTACGCAAGTAACTGTGTTGACTCGAAATAAATTAGTTTCATTGTGACAAAACTGACGTGTCTCGTGTCACATTCTTTTCGCCAAAACGCTCCTTAACCCGCATCCTAGTACTCCATCGGTTCGTTTTTTGTGACTTTCTCACCGAAACAGTGTGTGTATATGTGTATATGCCTCCGTATCGTGTATGTGTGTGTGTATGTGTTTGTGTTTTTGTTTTTTTTTTTTTTT